GTGGCCTTGGACTGCTACTCGGTCCACCCCTCTGCTTAAGTGAGTGGGGAGACCAGAGACTCTCCGAGTTCCTCATAATGTGCCTTCTTGCTTTCCTCCCAAGGTCTTTCAACTCTAGGATCAACGTACAGACCCCTGGGACTTGGGGGGATTAAGCAGTGCTCTCAGCCTACAGTGGTCTGGCTTCCGTCCCTACCCATCCGCACAAGCTGCCCTTACCAAGTTTCCTGGGACCCCTGGCTTCAGCCAGGGGACACTTCTCCGTCCTTTCACCTGACCTCTTGGTAGCACCTGACTCTGCCGATGGCTCCTTCCTTTGCAAACTTCTGCCTGCCTTGGCCTCTTGACTCCTCCCTCTCGGGTCTTCGTCCTTCTCAGCTGCTTCTCCTTAGCGTCCTTATGGAATTCTCATTCTCCACTCAGCTTTGATGTTGGCAGTATCAGGATCAAGCTCTCCTTGTTTTCCCTGCAATCTGTGGTCAACACAGCAGCTCCAGTGATCCTTTTAAAACATGTCAGATCATATCACTGCTCTGCTCAAAACCCCCCAGTGGCTTCTTCATCATTCACAGTAAAGGCCCCAATTGACCTTCAAAGCTCTATGTGCCCCTACCCCAGACCCTCTACCTCTCTACCTCCATCTCTAGCCCTTGCTCACTCTACTCCGGCTCCTTGGCCTCCTTGTGTTACCTGAACCCTCAGATGTGCTCCAGCCTCAGGGCCTTTGCACCTGCCATTTCCATACCTCTTTCAGTCCTTCGTCATCTCTTCAGTGAAACCACCTCTGAGCACCTTATTGAAAACTACAATTCCTACCCCACCACAGTTCCCGATTCTCCTTTCCAGTGGGACTTTTCTCCATAATAACCTTATCCACCTGATGGACTAAATGCTTCCCTTATTTTACTGTGGTCAGCCTCCCCCAACAGGGAGAATGTGCAGGGCTGGTGTTTGGCTCCCTGCCATGTCCCCAGCACCTGGCATAGTTCTTAGCACATGGTCAGCACTCAATATTTATTCACTGAATAAACGAATAAATAAATAACCTCACCACCTCTTCCCCAAATCTGATCCTCCAACTGGGTTCCCTTTCAGAGCTAGCATGACTGCCACTTTGTCCCCAGCCAGGAGCATGGGTCACCCCTAACTTCATACCCCTCTTGCAGCAATCTGTCACCGCACCCAGAAGCCCACCTCAGGGCTGCCAGGCTCTGCCACCGATCCTCACACCTGGCTCAGATCAGCATCACGTTGGCTTTGGCAATAGTGTCCAGCTCCAGGTCGACCCCTCAAACCATCCTCCCACTGAAGTATAACCAGCCTTACAAACCAAAATAAGAGGGCACCTGGGTGGCTTAGCTGGTTAAGGGTCTGCCTTGGGCTCAGGTCATGATCCCGAGGTCCTGGGATTGAGCCCTGCGTTGGGCTCCCTGCTTCTCCCTCTCCCTCTGCTCCTCCCTGCCCTGCTCGTGCGTGCTCTCTCTCTCTAATAAATAAATAAAAATCTTAAAAAAAAAAAAAAAACCCAAACAGAATCCTCTCACTCTCCTTGGGAAGCCCTCATGGCTTCCCATTGCTAGACAGCCCGTGGACTTCGTCGCAGGCCGCCAACCCCCTCACAACCCAGCCCCTGCCTCCTCCGGGGCCTTTCTTCACAGGCTTCTCCCTTCCTCCCGCCATTCCTCACACCCTCCGTTCCTGCTCATAAACCCCAGGCCCTTCTTCCAGGAACACACTTCCTGTCTCTCTGGTTTCCTCCTCCTCACCCAGCAGATCCCACGCCCCTACCTCCGGGCCTCTCCCTCGGGCCCAGCCAGGTGCGGCCAAGAGTCAGGAGATCCGAGTTGGAATCCCGGCTCCACTCCCAAGCTGAACACCTCTGGGCCTCCACCTTTATTTAGCGAGTGGAATGCTAATAATGAGTACCATGAAGGAGGTTAGAAACATTAAATGAGATCATATATATTGTAGGTGCCTTATAAATATTGTGTGGGCTTAATGTTACTTCTTTCCTCCTGTGATCTCATGGCCTCTGTGCTTCTACTTCTCAGACTTTTCACCTCTTCTGGAATGGTCTCCCTGGTAGCCTGTGAACCCCTGCAGGGAGCTCCTGCCTTATTCAGTTCTGCTTCCCCACAATCTGCCCAGAACCTGCCCCTGAGCCTTTTTTTTTCTTAATCAGTGAGTAATTTGAGCAAATGAACTAACAAGGTGGCCACCAGAGGTCAGGCTCACACCCAGAATAGAGCCAACCCAAACTAGAGTTCTTTTAAAAGGCCTGGGATCTAGAAGCCCTGGTGGGCGCAGCAGAGAAGCAGGGTGTAGGGGCTTGTCCTGCAGCACTGCTGTGGGCTCTTGAGGCCTCTTGAAGTGTGATTAGACGCTCTCCCCTTGCTGGGCCCTCGTGTATGCATATGAAAAACTGAGTCCAAATGGGCTGCGTGCTAATCCTCTCAGCTTCCACTTCCTCATCTAAAAAGAGGGTCACCCCACTGCCTACTTTATGGGATTATGACGCTTCAGTGGCGTTTAAAGACAACTGGCAGAGATCGTGCTCCACATAGTAAGCCCTTGGTGTAAACTTGCCCCAGGTCAACCTCCTGCTCACTCCTCCCGCAGTGAGAGCAAAGAAGGACAGAGGGGCCTCCAGGCTCAGCTGACTAGGAATCTGACCTACCTGACTCATCAGTCTCAGAGTTTTAGGGACCAAAGCGAGAGACCCAGACGATTGTCTTTTTGTAGAGTCCCACCCACACTGAGACAGCCTTTAAAAGGTCCTCTTGGTTTAGAAGTACTGAGAAGCAGACGAGGAGTGGAGCTGTGAAAACACGGGGATGTTGCTTGTTAGTGGTCAGAGACCCCACCCACCCGGCGGCCGGCTCCCTCCCACCTCCACCCCTCCCCAGGCTGTTGGGGAGAAACTTGCCTACTCTGCAAAGGTGCCAAGAGCCTCCAAGAGAAAGGGATAAAAGATGCCCTTTGGGGGACAGCCAGGGTCACCCCAGGCTTAGACTAATGGTACAAAAATGAGGCCCTAGGAAGGGGGGATGACGGTCCCAAATAGACCCCAGGTCCTCAGGAAGCAGTTTTGGGTCCACTCCTGAAGACACAGAACAAAATCATCCTGATGCCTCGGGGAGATAACGGGACATCAAAGAGATGACCAAGGTTGTGCATTCCCAAGACTGAGTGGACCGAGAAGTGTGGTGATTCGTGAGCAGCATGGTCTAGAAAGATGGGAGACAAGGAGAGAGAGGCTCAGCCTTATTTCTGTACCATGGTCTGGCTGGCTGGGATTTACTCCCTTCAGATGGGGAATGAAGTCAGGAGACTAACAATGAATACACTGAACTCTGAGGTTTAAAATCCTGGAAACCGGGGCATCTGGGTGGCTGTGGGTTGAGCACCCAACTCTTGATTTTGGCTCAGGTCATGATCTCAGGGTCCTGAGATCAGCCTGTGTCAGGCTCCGGGTTCAGCGGGGAGTCTGCTTCACTCTCTCTCTCCACCTCTCCTGCAACCCCCCACCCCCCAGCCCGTTTACATGAACAAGTACACGTGCCCTCTTTCTCTCAAATAAATCTTTAAAAAATAAAAACAAATAAATAAAATTCTGGAAACCCCCAGCATGTCACAATGACCCCGATGCTGGGCTCTGCCTGAGGGGTAGTGTGTTTGGGTAGGGGCTGGGGGACAGTGTGGAAGGTCCGAAATGGGAACTCAGATGCACTTGCTCTAGGCAGGAACCAAGGCTTTTCTCTGTGGGACTTAAAGTTGCACTTTGTCACCCCGCCGAGAGAAAACAAAAATGCAACTAGAAATATATTGGAGAGAGGGCTTTTGCACCTGACTAGATGACTACCTGGGTCCCTTCCATCCCCACGACTCTAAAATTTTCAGTTGTAAGAGAATGTTGATTTGAAAAATTGGCAAATAATGTATGGGTATCTTTTATTTAATTTTTAACTGAAATTAATTCACACACCATAAAATTCACCCTTTTATATGAATCACTGTGCAATCCAGTACTTTTCAATATATTCACAAAGTTGTGCAATCATCACTACTATCCAATTTCAGGACCCTTTGAAACCTCCCCAAAAGGAATCCTATACCCATTAGCAGTTACTCCTCATTCCCTCCTCCCCCAACACCTGGCAACTGCCAATGTACTTTCTGTCTCTGGATTTGCCTATTCTGGACATTTCATATAAATGGAATCATACAATATGTGGCCTTGTATGTGTGTCTGGCTTCTTTTACTCAGCCTAATGGTTTCAAGGTTCATCCATACTATAGCACGGGTCAGTACTTCATTCCTTTTTAATGGCCGACTAGCACAAGGAATATTCCATGGAAACATTTTATTTACCCACTCACTAGCTAATGGACACTTGGGTTGTTTGAGTTTATTTTAAAGGAGTGGTTGTATAAATGCATTCTTTGCCCACTTTTTCCCTCAAAGTAATGATAGTCAGTAGCAAAATGCAGGGTAAGCAAGCAAAACAGCTGGCAACCGGTACTTAAAAAAGGGAAAGCATCCTTGATTTTTCGGTTAAGTCATTGAAGAATGGGGCCAAGGTTTGGCATCCACCTAGTTTGAAACTCCTGATGCCTCCCGATCCTATGTCTGAACTGAGTCCATCTACTAAGCCATTAGATTAATACATGGGGAAGTCCTCGGATCAGAAGGAAGAACTAAAAGCCACTGTCCAGATCAGTGGTTTTTAATCTATTTTCCAGAGACTCCCAAGATTTCATGGAAGTAACTCAGGGCCACCAAGGGGGCTGGGGCTGAGGCACAGGTGGATAGGACTCTTGAGTCTAGTCCCCAGTCCTGCTTTAACAAGAGCAGTTCTCATCTTAATTGCTTTATTTGCTGAGCTTCCCTCTAAGAGTTCATCTGGAACAAATAAAGTAGGGTCTGAGGCAAAAAGACTATTTGGCAACCATGGTCTAGGTGATTACGGAAACTCTGGACTGGAGGTGGGGCCCTGTGGTAGCCATTCTTACGAGTTCTTCTGAGGAATCTTGATGGTAACGGTCTTCACCTCCGTGTAGGGCTTAAGCCCATCCTCCCCCAGCTCCCTCCCATTGCCAGATTCCTTAAACCCTCCAAAGGGCGTGTGGCAGGTGACAATGTTGTAGGTGTTTACCCACACTGTGCCGGCCTGGAGCGCCTGAGTGAAGTACATGGCCTTGTCCAGGTCCCGGGTGAACACAGCAGCCGCCAAGCCATACCTGGTGTTGTTGGCCCTCTCGATCACCTCCTCCATCTTCTTGAATTTAAATAAGGGCTGCACAGGCCCGAAGATCTCCTCTCTGGCGATCCTCATGTCGTCCTGCACGCCACCGAAGACCGTGGGCTTGATGAAGAAACCGCGCTCCCCAAAACGCTCCCCACCGCAGAGAAGTTTTGCCCCCTCCTTCTGGCCAAGCCGGATGTAGCTCAGGACTCGTTCAAACTGCTCTTTGTCCACCTGGGGCCCCTGCTGGGTGTCCAGCTCAAAGGGGTTCCCGACCCTTCTCTGCTTAGCCTTCTCCACGGTTCTCTCAAGAAACTCGTCGTAGATGGATTCTTCGACGAAGGTCCGGGAGCCCGCACAGCAGCACTGGCCCATGTTAAAGAACAGTGCTTCGTGGCACTGCTCCACGGCATGGTCCATGTCTGCGTCGGCCAACACGATGCTGGGGCTCTTCCCACCCAGCTCCAAGGTGACTCTCTTCAGGTTGGAATCGCCCGCCGCCTTCTGGATCAGGTGGCCCACCTCAGTAGAGCCGGTGAAGGCAACTTTGTTGACATCCATGTGCTGGGCGATGGCTGCACCCGCCGTTGGGCCGTAGCCGGTGATGATGTTCACCACCCCTGGGGGGAAGCCCGCCTCTTTGATGAGGGAGGCCAAGTACAGGGCAGACAGGGGGGTCTGCTCTGCCACCTTCATGACCACAGCGTTGCCAGTGGCCAGCGCTGGGGCGAGCTTCCAGCCCTGCATGACCAAGGGGAAGTTCCATGGGATTATCTGGCCACAGACGCCAACAGGCTCATGGCGGGTGAAGCAGAAATGCTCGCCATCCATAGGGATGGTCTTGCCGTGCCACTTGTCAGCCCAGCCAGCAAAGTACCGGTATACTTTGATGACCTCATCCAGGTCCAAGGCATAAGACTCCTGGAAAGGCTTCCCATTGTCCAAAGTCTCCAGGGAGGCCAGGTAGACACGATCCCGCTCCACCAGGTCGGCCAGGCGGTTCAGCAGGCGGCCACGCTCTGAGGCATCCATGCGGCGCCATGGAGACCCCAGGCGGAAGGCCTCGCGGGCTGCTTTCACTGCCCGATCCACGTCAGCCCGGTCCCCCTCAGCCACATGGCCAATGACCTCTCCCGTGGCGGGGTTGACTGTCGGGAAGGTCTTCTTGCTGGCTGCATCTTGCCACTCATTGTCGATGAACAGCCGGTTGTAGCGGATGTCTGGGTTCGGGATGGGGTTCGGAAGGGCTGCTGCCGAAGAGTACGGGGCGGTCCTGCCACGGAGGCAGAGCAACCGGGGCACCAGGAAGCGCAGCATGTTCACGACTCTGGAGGGGGACAGGAGGAACCAGAGTGAACAGGTGACAGCAGGCTACATGGTCCCCCAAAGGCCCACCAGCTCAGACATTCCAAGATGCTAGCGTAAAGGGGTGCCACCTCTAACAATGTGGATTGTAAGCAGTACAAAGGCGCGGGTGCGTCAGGGTTGGGGGTGGGGGGCAATGGCCCCAAAGAACTCTCTGGTTCCAACTCCCTCATGTCCCATCTACCCTCCAGCTCACTCCCTCACCTCTTCTGGGTCTTGGATCAAATGTCACCTGCTCAGCAAAGCCTTCCCTGACTGCCCTTTAAAAAATTTACAGAACTGCCACTTTTCTCCCTGCCAGCACGCTGTCCCCCATTCCTGTGCTTTATTTCTCCCCACCTGACACACCAGAGAGTATATTTACACACGTGTATGTTTCTTGTCTGCCTCTCCCCAGTTAAACGTCCACTCTAGGACGGTAGGCATTTTTTTTCCTGGTTCATTCATTGCTCTGTCCCTGATGCCTCGAAGTATGCCTGCTACAGAGTTATTCAGTAGTAGTTATTAAGTGATAGACATCAAAACTTCCACAAACACTGTTCACAATTTGAACTCACAATGGAGTAGAAACCAAAGGGACTGAGAGAGTTGTCTCTGAGACAAGGGTTTGCTTCACTTCCCCTCTGTGCCTCAGTTTCCTCTTATGTGAAAGGCCTCATGGGGTTACACTGAATGGGGCCGTGCACTCAAAAGAGCCTGGCGACTGTCTGCCCAGCCCATCAGAGCTGGCTCGCCCTCAGAAACCAGCCTAGCCCGGCCCCTGGCGACATAGGTCTCAGCTTCCCAGGAGTGCAGCAAGTCTGGAAGCCACTGGAAAGAAGGGCTGTTTATTCTTCCCTATGGCTCTGAAACAGTGCAGACTTTATTAAAACAACAATTATAAAATTTAAACAGTATCTAAAATGTATTCAATGAAATGTAAATGGTGTCTAAAATTCCTAGATTCATTGAAACTCTTACTCTTCAGCCAGGACATCAATCCCTCCTTCTTTTCTGTCTCACTTGAGTCTTGACCCACCAGCAGCCAAAAGGAATTGCACTTGGCCTCTCCACTCTCCACCCTCTGCCACTGGGCATCCTGGAAAGCAAAGCCCCAGCCAGTCCCCCAGCTTCATACAAATCAGTGCTGCCCAAGAAAACCCTCCCCTGGAGGGTAGTTGAGCCAGCAGACCTGTCAGGGGTGCACTCAGGTTCCATTCTGCTCAGAGCTCTGTCCCATGCTGGGACAGAAGCAGCTTTGGGTCCAAAGGCCTGGATCTGAGGAGGGAGGGATCCCAGGAGAGGTTAAGTGGGGGTAACCAATCCATGGGGAGGTGGGGGATGGAAGGACTAAACAGGTGAGAGAGAGAGTCATAGACCAAGGCTGGCAAATCTTTCATGCTTAGCCAAGGCTGTTCCTCTTCTAGGGGCTTAAAAGGGGTCCGCGCTTGGAGCCTCCACTTGTATTTGTAAGACCACAGCACACCACACTTTACAGTTTGCAGGCCATTTTCTTAGCAGTTAAGTCACAGAGATTCCCAGTAACCCCTGGGGTGATCTGGGCAGATGATCATGACCCCCATTCTGGAAGAAGGCTGGGGATCAGAGAGGTTTGGGGACTCACAAAGGACACACAGCAAGTAAAAATAAGAGCCTCAACTCGGATTCCCATAGCCCTAGCTCTAGCTCTGAGTTTCCTCCTGACCATGGGCAACTTCTTATGGATCCCAGTATTAGTGTCCACTGTGCCAAGAACCGGACTTTCGGAATCATCCAGTATGAATGGCACCAACCTCACCCTTTCTGCAGGGCTGTGACACGTGTCTCGGCCTCTCAGCTACAGTCAGGGGCTCTCTGCTGGAGTGGGCTGGATGAGCAGGAGCGATGAGGTCGAGCTAAGGGGGTAAGGTTTCAGGGGGGTCTGCGTCCTCTGAGCCCAACAGGAACCCCCCAGGCACCCGGGTGCAGGCGCAAGGATGTTAGACTGGAGAGGGTCCCACCGTGCACGCCTGGCTGAAGGGCCAGTCCCCAGATGGGAAAGCGGAGACTCAGAGAGATAGCCTCCATCGCAGGGAGGGGGAGCTGCGGCCTGCCTGGGGGCCGAGGGAGAAGGGCGCTAATTACCTGCGGCGGGCTCGGTCTCCGGTGCAGCTCCAGGCTCTCGCAGCCCTAGCCCTGCCTCCCGCCGCTTGCTCGCCGCAGGTCCCGCCTCCGCGCAGCCGCTCAGCCGCTCAGCCGCCGAGGCTCCGCCTGCGTCCCGGGCGTCGCGGATCTGCGGCCCCGAGGCCAAGGCCGCTTCTCCCCCCAGGCGCGGTCGCGTGGAGCTGGAGGGGGGCGAGGAGTGCCCCACCCCCCGCCGCGCTTCCGGGATCCCAGCCACCGCAGCCCCGTCCCGCGACCCCGGATCTCCCGGCACGCTGGAGCTCCTTCTTTGCTCCGCCGCTCAAGCTGCGGTCCTAAGGCGCTCGTTTGGGAGTGGAAACAAAGACCCAGAATGGGGCAGGCCTTCCCCAGGTCACACAGTTAGCGCTCCAGTTAGTTTGCACTTCTCCCACAAGCTGCCCCTTGTTAGGTCCTCATCCTGGAGCCTCTCCTTGACCCCTTCTGTGCCTCCGCCTCTCTCTGTCTTCCCCCTTCGCTGCTCTTCGCCCACCCCCGCCCCCGCACCTTTAAGATTTTGTGTGATTTTTTTAAAAAATGCGCTTTTTTTGGTCCTAGGACAAAAAGAATGTATGCACAACGTAGGAAGCTTGGAAAACACGCAAAAGGTTGCAAGAATTTTTAAAATACCTTCAATCCAGTTTTTCTGTCAATTTCTGAGAAAAATGTTAAAATCTGTGACAATTGTGGTTCTACTTCTTTTAATTCCATCAGTCTCTGCTTCATGTATCAGGTACATACATATTTGTGATTATTATGACATACATATTGACCTTACATCATTATGAAATTATACTTTTGACCTCTAGGGAAAAAAAATACCTTCCCTCCTTTCACCCAAAAGTTGTCATTTATCTTGCCGGTATTTTTAACTTCGTATTTTTCAAAAAATTCATTTAATCAAAAAGAAATTATATGGTGACCTGTATTTTGCTGCCTGCTTTTTTTTTTTTAACTTAGTGATTTATTATGAACCTTTTCTCATGTCATGTTAATTAAAAGGCAACATCGTTCTCTCCCCGAAGTGGTGGGGTAGACCATGGATGTACATTTAGATTGTGTCCATTTCGTTGCCATAAAGCATGCTAACCACACATCTCCGACTCACCCCGCCTCCACTGCACCTTCCTTCTGCTTGGAGAGCGTGGGAAGGTAAGAGCTGTTTCCCACCTTGTTTGCAGCTAGAGCTCTGGAGTGAACTAGGTGCTTCTGATTAGCAGTACCCCTGCCAGATGTGGAGGGCGAGGGTATTGTCGTGCCCCTTTGGGGGCATCACTGACAGGATGGTGGATTGTGAGGATTTCCTGCATTCCTGTTCCTCGTCCCTTCTCTAGCTTCCTGGAAATGCCGTGGCAGCTGGGGCTGCCACTGCTACACTCTGACCACCTGCTCTTTGAATCATGGCTGCAGGGGTGTGTCTGCAGCTAACTAGCTCCAGAGGTGGCCTCAGACAGTAATGAGACTGATGGGTCACGTCCATCTTGTGCTGGGAATCTGTCCTGCTCCTCCCGCCAGCCCTTCCAGCAATTCTGTCAGCACCTGATTCTCCATATCAAATCCCTACCTCTGCACATTTTTAGTGTTCACGTCTTCCTGCTTGAACCCGGCTGGTGGACATTGTTGTTTCCTTAAGCTACATCTCTTTGGAATCTTTCGTGACCATGTCATCCTTAGGATGTTTACAGTCCTTGCCGCAAAATAGAGTTCTCCACTAAAAGCAGTGTGTTTCGTGTCTTGCCACGGCTATGTTCATGTTTTCCTCTGGCTTCCCCCTGCAACCGTGTAGCCCCTTGCAAAGTCCCTTCTGCCTCTCCCACAGCACATGGCCAACCTAGCACCCCTTGGGCACTTGGCGCTCCGTGATGGACTGACTTAATACTTGTTCAGTCAATTATTAACAGCCTCATTGGTAGAAGCAGTGAGTCCATGACAAAAGGAGTATCCATTTTCACGAACCCTTGGAAAGCTGTGGCAGGTGTGAGAGGCCAGTGGCAGACAGGAAGTAGCCCTGTAGGGAGAGGTTGAAGGCTGTGTCCTGGGAGGAACAGCTGAAGGAACTGGGGTGTCCACTCCTTAGAACTCATGGGATAAGTTTGCACCCTCCAAATCTCCAAAGGACAAAGACAGGCATCTGTGGAGCCCAGGGGAAGTTACAGGGGGCAGAAAAAGAACTTCCTGACAAAGCAGAGCTGACTAAGGAAGGATAGGAGGGGCTGCTCTGAAAGGCAGTGAGTCCCCCAACCCTAGAGGAGTACAAGAAGGGATAGACAACCATTTGGCAAAATCCTGTAGAGGGGAGTACCAAAAAAGGACTGAATAAGACAAGGGGCTTTCAGAGATAGATGTGCATCAGAACTGCCTGAAAAGTATATATATATATACACACACACATATATACATATATAATATATATGTGTATATATACATATACAACCAAAAAAAACAACCCCACAATCTCTCTGGGTCTTACCTTCAGAGATTCTAAATTTTTAGATGTTGGTTGAGACCCAGGAATTTTTTTAAGTTCTCCACATTCTCCAGATATGCAGCTATATGTGGGGAGGACCAACCTAAGTGGTCTTTGGGGATACTATGACTCTACCATGGATGGTTCTCAGAAAGGGACTAATCCAGCGAATGCTTTGTCTCTATCTACATTCCATTCGGCAAGCCCACCCTTGACATTTCACAAGCTGTGGCTGTCATCAGAACTCACCAAAGTAGTCCCATCGCAAGGCATTTGTAAAAGCATCCCAAAAATTAGAAAGTAAAAACCTTCCACAATGCTTGACATTTACAGTTTGGAGAGAAGC